CAATGTGTTGCATACAAATATATCCATTCAAAATGAGTTTTTTTAATGATGGTTAATTTTAAAAATAAAAATAATATGGTTAGTTGTTAGTGTGATTTTGAATTTATATTATAATAATATTTAAAAATAAAATATTTAAATTTGATTTGATAAAAGTATGAGATATGACATGAAGTGATGGTTAGTTAAAATTATGTGAGTTATTGAAGAATGAATTAAAGTTGACGTGATATGTAAGAATGATTGGTTGATAATATTTAACTAATTGATAATATTGAGAATAGTGGAATTGGATTAGTGTCGAGTTAAATTTTGAGTATTAATTGAGTATGGATCAAATTATTTTATATACAAACACACCCATGTATACGTGGCTAGCCTTTTAAAAATATAATATATTTTTATTAATATAAATTATAATATGTATTTAAAAAATATTTTTATTAAATATATATATCATTTTTCTATTTTTATCAGAAAATTGATTTAACGTTCATATTTCATGTTTAAGTTAAAAAAAACAATTAAATATAGTGGGTCTAAATTTGATCGAAAATAACAATATAATTTTTTAGGAAGTATTAAAATTGTAAGATAAAACGTCCATTTTTATTTTTTTTACTATTTAATTATAACTTTAATAATCATCCTCTTCAATTATATGGGTATTGTGTCACAACTAGTAAACTTTATTGTAAAAAGCATTAAAGTTAACCAGGTGCAAATAAATTTATTCAAAACATATTTATTTGGTTAAATAGAGTTAATTTTAAATATGTAGTATGATTATTTGGAAGGGCGTCTACATATATCATTCATTTAATCACAAACTACAATATTTCTCATCCACGTCATGTCCACATCATCATTCCACTAAACACGTCTCTGTTTAAACATTCTCTCACATTCCTTGAACCTTTCAAATGCAAATGTAGAACTCATTATTCACTCATTCAATATAAAATTTTAATATTTTGTTCTTAATAAATGGGATGGGCCCATTATCCACCGATTCTTCCCACTAAGCAAATTGAATGAATGGAGTGGACCCATTCATTCATCTAATTAAATGTATGACCACAATCCATGAATTTGTCTAGACATTTAAATGAGATGAGAGTGGATGCTCTTAGTAGAATTTGAACTTATATTAAAATAATATTTAAAATAAAATAATTAAAATTGATTTGATATAAAAATATTAGAAAAATAATGTGAAGTGATTGTTCATTAAAATTATGCGAGTGAATGAATAGCGAATTAAAATTGATGTAATGTGTGAAAATGATTGATTGGTATTTTTGGTTATATTGATAATATTGAGAATAGTAATTTTTTATTAAAGCTTAGGGATGATATATTCAATTGTGATTTATAAGACTACTAAGGACTCTTTAAGACTTCAATTTTTTTTTTAAAAAAAAAAACATGGTTGCTCCAGCCCAGAACATGCGGTTCTTTGAACATGATCGGAATCACCGATTATTGGACCAGCTTGTACATATGATCGAGCTAGTTAAGGGCTCCCAAAAATATGGCCCAAAACCGGTGGTTCTAACCACAAACTAGCTCGGGACCGGAATTTGGCTACGACTACTTATAACAAATTCTTGTGCCCATTATAATTTTGTAAAAAAAAAAAAAATANTATAGAGTACGATAGCATTTTAAAAATTTACATATTTTACATATTTGTTGAAAAATTACGGTTGTCCAATAGTTAAAGTCCTTAGCACAAACATTTTACAAATTATAACCACCAATTGTAGAGATTGTCAGCATTGACAATTTCGGGAAATGGAATTAAACTCTGCAGTAAAACCACGCTTTTTAAGACTTCATATTATATGGTTTGGATTTATTAGTATTTCCCAGTATATCCTTCTCTCTGAAAAGAACAACTAAACAGCTGCCAGACCTGACCATAAGTGGGTACCCATCCATAACAAAGACCTAATAATGCACCAAGTTCCATCTCATGGGTTGAACAAGATTTTGTTCATGAAAAAACAAAGCTCATGCCCCACTAACACTTATAGTTGGGGTTTATGCTCCTCTCTTTATAGTCAAACTTCCCATCACATCAAAGTGATTCATGACAAGGTTCACCATATTGCAAGGAGGAATTTAAACGAAGTATAATTGTATAAACCAATAGCACAAACTGCTGATGCTAATCGTGCTGTAAAGTAGCAGATGAAACACCAGATTTAATAAAGATTGATAATGACAAAAGCAGTCGAATATGGACAAACGGCTAACAGAGGTGATTTTATTCACTTTCGAACTTTCTACACTACAAAGCTCCACTTACGCAGTCGACTAAAGTTAGGCAGAGCCTGTTATGTAAGAAAATTTGGAACAATATAAGGCTATATTTAAACCTATCAATGTCAGTCTAAAAAAGCACTAAACAAAAATTGAAACTAATATCTGCCTTGCATATATATAGTTAAACTCTGCTACACTAATTATGCATAGAAATATACTTCAGCTTTTGATGTCCGCCCAACATCAAAAAGCATCACCGGACTATCAAACCTCGAGACTGCAGCACGTTTCCAATTAAATCTCTCAAGCCAGTCACTGCAGGAATCGGGTTAGTTGAACCACCATCACGCTTACATCATCAAGACACCCTCTTTTTAGAGATAAATCAACGAGCTTCTTGCAAGCGGATAAAGGTTCCTGCTTGTCCACGCCAACACATAGAGATCGGACTAAATCTACGGCTTCCTGATTGCCTACCTGAAGAAGGGGAAAAAAAGGAAAAAATGCTTTAGCAACCCAATGCATTCAGAAACATCAAATTACACTTGTGTTGTGTGTGTTTGGTGAGAGAGAGAGAGATTACACTATCCCACAAGCCATCAGAGGCCAGGATCAAAAACTCGCATTCCGGACTAATTTCAAGCACTTTGGTTTCGGGATCAGCTATAACCGATTCTTTATGATCCCTATCTCCAATTGCTCTGGACACAGCAAGAGAACCATTTACCCTCCAAACTCCATGTGCATAGAATAAAAAACCACCCTTCATTAAGAGAAAGAAAAAAATATGTAAGAAACTTATCATAGCATAGTGCATGCCATCAAATTAACATTATTCATGTTAGAGAGAGAGAGAGAGTACCAGACTCTGAATCCTTTGTCTTTCTTCAAGCAGCGAGGCTCGGTGATCGACTGTGAGGGCCTCGGCAACACCTCCCCGGCTCAAGACCGCTCGACAATCCCCGGCATTCGAGACCACAAGATGCCCTTCGTGGATGAATGCAGTCACAGCACAAGTCCCACTACCGATATCTTTCTTGAGAAACTCGGCATCTGTGGTGAGGTACCCCTCCTTGACCGCCCTCTCGATTTCTTCACCTTTTTCAGTCACTACTTTCATAACATTCTTATGTAAATGCTCTGCCGCAAATTCTGCAGCTTGAATGCCCCCATGACCGTCAAATACACCAAAGAAAGCCTGAGATTAAAGTGTATGATCATCATCAGAGACTTGAAGAACCAAAAGAAATCTGCATAGCACGCCCCCTCAATATTTTTGAGTTTCCATAGTTTAAAATATGTAATCATCACTGTAAAGTAGTGAATCCACTCTTCTCCCTATCATGCCCTCGACAAAATTGGATAACAGGAATCTGAATTCACTAAATAGACAGCCTAGCCTAATTCATGAAATGAGAAGCTCGTTCTAATTTCACTTTTCACCAGATGCATGCAATATATCCTCATCAATAGAGTCACAAATTCAGATGCATTAACTTTACAATTAAAGGCTATTCATACTTGTTGGCCGAACTACATTATTAAACAAATCTTCAACGGCTCCACACACTTAAACAATCAGTATTACCAATAATATCACAACAGGTTGTCAGGCATAAAAAAGTCAACTCAATATCACCTACCAAACAAACAAAGAGAGAGATAAAATTGGCGAAGAACAAACCGAACCTGCTTGGAATCCCCTTGAAGACCTACAACGGCGGCGTAGCGATCCTCCATGACGCCGGCCCTTTTCCCCTTCTTACAACACACCGAATAACCATCCCGCTCAGACTCCACCTCCCGCCAACTATCAATCTCCGGCGCCGCCCCCCAGCTCTCAAACCCTAAGATCGGCCGCGTAATGTCAATCCTCATCGAATCAAGCCCCAACAGCGACCTTTTCCTCTTCAACATCGACGACTCCTTCGGAGACTCTACAGCCTCTGGCGGCTTCCGCACATGTTGGAGCGGGAAAGCCGGTGGCGAAGGAGACAGCGCCGGCGGCGGCGGAGGGGAGGTGGCGCACTTGCAGAAAACCGGAGACAATGGCCTCGGCGACGGCGCGAACATCGACGGGCTTGGTGGCGCTACAGCAAATTGCATGATTTTTGTTTTGTTTTTTAATTTGATGGGATTTTTTTTCTCTTTTTTTTATGTAATTAAATGAAATGGACATTTTAAGTGTTGTAATTTGGGGCTATTTATATAGTCTGCTTGTGGCTGGGTTGGGAATTTGGGGTAATACGGCGTCGTTTGTGGATCGGAATATTTCAAGGCTTTGCATTGGTCACGCTCCTACCCAGGAACATTAGTAACTCGCTAAAGACAAATTCATATATTAATGCAAATTTGTTATAAATTTATTCACCTTTTGGGAATTGATGAAAAATTTAGAGATCTGACCATCATTTATTGTTAATAATTTCTACTGAAGTTATGTAATTTTGTTGACGTTTATATATTTGATAATTAATTCATGCTCTATAAGTTTCTCTATAAGTTTAACTATATATTATTATTACAATTATAATGATTTATTTTACTATTAAAATAGTTACCTTAATACTATTACGTTATTTCTTACGTTATTAAATTAACGATCCGTAAATTTTTTTATTTATGTGATAAATCTGTTTTTAAATTTTAAAAAGCAAAGAATTGTGCTATTTTCGAAACCAGTAAAATATATATGATAATTAAACTTACATTCATACTTATTTATAATATAATTTATTTACTTCTTAGTCCACACACTAATAAGTTTAACTTTATATTATTGTTTCAATTGCAATATCATGTACCATAATTTCTTTTATCATTATTGATGGTATTATTGTAACGTGTTGTTTTTAATACGAGTATTTTTATAAGATAAGTATATGAATAAATAAATATAAAAAATAAAATAAAAAAGGCATTTGAGTTGCACGCGTTTCAAGTGCAAGTGGGTGTGTTTAAAAAATAAAGTGAGTCTTTTGCGCAATGGGACGGTCAGAGGGGATTGCCTTTTAATGACTGCATCGCGTCAACGGTCAAACACGCAATTTCCGTTGTTTTTATTTGCTTAATATTATTTCTCGAATTTCTTCTTTCCCCACTTTCTAGGGTTTTGTGGTAGTGTGAAAATTATTGAGTTAAATTATAGTTTACATATTAAATTATAACTAGCACGTAGCCCGTGCGATGTACGGGATATAAGTATTAATGAGTTATTTCCACAGCACTTGTCCGTTAAGTAGTTCGTGTGATTCACGGGAGATATTAAATGAGTGGACCATAGGGCTTGTCCGTTCAGGCCTAAAAAATAATAGAGTTTGATCATTTATCTTTTTACATATTTTCATCAACGTCATTTTTTTTGTCGGAACATTAAATCTGAGTCTGATAGCGCTAGCCCGTAAATTAATTAATATATTATCTCACTCACATGTTTATAATAATATAAATTTGATTTCACTATATATTTATTCATTGATATAAGAAAAATAACAATTTTACGTAATCTTGTTCCTCGTATAATACTTATATTATTTTATTATAAAATTTATTGTAGTATAATGTCATTATTATTATAAGTTATAGATGTAATCTTCTTCTTCATTTTGTTTTATGTAATTAAAATATTTAATGTATGTTCATATTATTTATTAATGTAATTAATTTAAATTATGTAAATAAATTTAAAGTAAAATATTTTGTACAAACATTTTACAAAACATACACAAATGTTTTTTTAGAATTTATTTTTTTTACAATAAATAACAGCTTTGAAATTCTATGCAATTATTAAAACCGATTAAATCTGTTTTATTAAAATCGACTAAATTTTTATTTATAGGCTTGACATTAAAACCGATTTTATGAAATTTTTTTAACTAAACCGATGTTATGTAATAAAACAAATTTAATGAGTTTTCTAACCTAATGGGTTAATTATATTAACTATTATTATTATTATTGAATTTTGGGTCGTTAATAAATGTAACTATTGCCCATATCTGATTCATGCAAAAAGTCCAAAGTCACGAATTTTAAAACATTGGTAATTGTTCGTCTTTGGATGGTATTACAAGAAATGTCACTACAATATCTATATATATTGAAAAAGAGAGGTCAATAAATTCTTTTGGGAAAGTTTTAAAAAATTGGTCAACAACCCCATTGACTTTCCATTTGTAGAAACTAATTTAAAAATCTTTTCAAAATATATGGTTTTTTTTTTCCGTTTTTTAGGGATGGATATATATCTTATCACGTTAAAGGTATATCCATCCCTAAAATCATGGTATTTAAAATCTATCCAAATATCATCCCAAAAATCCTTTTAAAACAATTTTTTACTAATTAACATATATTTAAATACAAATGGTGATATCACGTTAATTTTTTACTAATTAACATATATTTAGGGATGGATATTATCATCCCAAAAATCCTTTCAAAATCCTTTTATTAACATATATTTAGGGATGGATATACTTTAACGTGATAAGATAATTATGCATCCCAAAAATAATGGTATTTAAAATCTATCCAAATACAATCCATAATTATCTTATCACTTTTGTTAATAAAAAATTGTATAAAAAGATATTCACTACCACCATTACAATTCATCATTCACGAGTTCAGAGAAAAAAAAAATACAGAGAATAGAAAAAAAAATACAGAGAATAATTTTTCATCCCATATACAATATAATGCTTCCAGGCTGGGGTAAACTTGATATATAATGCTTCCAGACTGGGTACGTTAACAAAAGAAACAAAACTTTTTTGCGTCTGAGAGCAGTCCGCATTATTGAAACCCATCACGAACGGGAGAGCTATAACGCATTTTCATGATGAACAGCTAATATTTACCTTTTTTATTTCAATTTTATATAATTTAGAAAATTATTTTAATTAATATTTATAACAAACCTTTTTTGCGTCTGAGAGCAGTCCGCATTATTGAAACCATCACGAACAGGAGAGTTGTAACGCATTTTCATGATGAACAGGTAATATTTACCTTTGTTATTTCAATTTTATATAATTTAGAAAAATATTTTAATTAATATTTATAACAAAGCATTATTGAAACCATCACGAACAGGAGAGTTGTAACACATTTTCATGATGGACAGGTAATATTCGCATTTTCATGATGAACAAGTAATATTTACCTTTGTTATTTCAATTTTATATAATTTAGAAAATTATTTTAATTAATATTTATAACAAACCTTTTTTGCGTCTGAGAGCAGTCCGCATTATTGAAACTCATCACGAGCAGGCTGGGGTACACTTGATATATAATGCTTCCAGACTGGGGTACGTTAACAAAAGAAACAAACCTT